CAGAAATGGAGACGTCTCTTAAAAAGGATTTTGTGTGATGTTAATACCGTGTTCCTGCAGATGAGATAAATGGAAGTGGCTATGCCAAGTATGGGGTGGCTGAGGCAAGTCCACATTGCAGTTGGCACCACTCTGAAGTGCAAAGTACACACCTGCAATGTCCTCCCTCCAGCAGTATCAGCAGAATTACTACAGAGCCAGCGCTATCTCAGGTATGTACCATCGATAGCAAGTAAATCTGGCTGCAAGCCCAGTGTCAAGGGTAGCTTTAAAACACAATGCAGATCCAGCCAGATACACTAAAGTCAACAGAGACTTCAGCTGGGACTGCAAAACCAGGACTGCAAAACCAAACTGTGCTCCCTGTGCCGAGCCGTGTGATAACGTGGGTAACACTGCTACAACAAGGTAGCTTAAGGCAGGTTTGCAGGACAAGATGTGAGATCTAACAAGGATTTTTGTGGCAACACTATTGCTTTAACAATGTAATCTGTGACAAGCCCTCATAGGGCACAAAAACAGTGATTTGGACATGAGATGAAAATAATTCTGAAATACACCAGGGGAGCTGAGCAACACTGAAATAATAGAAAATCAATGAATCTGCACAGAACGGCGGTATATCTGTGCATGCTAGTTTACGAAGTATAGTATGGCTGTTCCCTCTTTCTTGACTTACTTCCTATTGCAGATGTGTAAATTTCAGGCAGTTGCTATGCCAAAGATTTTGAACTATAAGAAATCTGTCAGCTCTCCCCAATTTTAAAGCTATCTATCTGCTTACTTTGGACTTTAAAAACACAAAACTGTTAACTGCAGGACATGCCTCACCATTCACATTTTTCCCAGTGGTATAGAGGGCATCATCAGAGAAGTAAACATTTTTCTCTAGGGTTCACTGTATACATGATTTTGCTGTAATTTTCAATGGAGTACTTTGGGGAGCATATAATTTTAGTAGATTCAGTTCAACATGGTGTTTTGCTCTACAGATGACAAGCATATAATAGGCTTTCAGGCAGACTGAAATAAAACGTAAAATGAATCAGGCAGAAAATATACTTCTGAAACTTTGAATTGAGAAACTGCTGAACCCTCATCCAAAAGTTAGAATACTGGACTGCTTTTGTCTTATAAAAATATGAATTCTTTTATCTTTACATACTAGTAAGTTTACATGTTAATACCGTGAATTCCAGCCTTTGATCTGAAACCTAACACATGCCTCCGTTTTTAAAGTGGACGTAGCACAAGCTTGTATCTCTCTCCCCTTACCCATCCTAGCACTTGATGGAAGTGCTCCTTATCTGCTGAAAACAAACAAACAAAAAAAATGCTTTCCAGAGGCTACAGATCAGATGACCTTGTTGAGTTCTGCTGCAGGAAAGGAAGGTCCCATGTGGCAGGCAGAGCCTCGTGTCTGAACAGAATGCCAATGGACTTGTTAGTAGGAAGCCTTGATAAAGACAGAAATGTTCCAGAATTGGGCTCAGGAAATTTGGCCTTCACTTAAAATCTTTGATACTTCAGTACCTTTTAATAAATTTCTTTATAGTGTGGTGTTGTATGTACCACCCAGGAGGCATATTTGCTGTGATTATATACCCTTTTTTATGTCTTTGGCAGATGCTGAGCCAACATGGTTGGAAATCGGCAGCAGTGATTTTCTAGTAGAAGTTATATTTTCCTTCATTGTGTACGAGGACCGATCACACATTACTCGCAATGTGAAATACTGAAGAGATGTGCTACAAATGCTCTTACACACTTCTGTTGTTCACACCGGGTAAAAAGTACGTTTTTGCTTCAGGCCTAATGTGGATCAGTGGATGTTTTCCCTCATCATACCCTCTTTTCTTTCTGCAAAGGAAAAAAATGCTATGCTGGATTTTCTAAGTGGGCTAGAGCCTTGTCTTTGTGACGGTGCCATACGCCTGCAACTTAATTAAAAGCAGCCCGATCCGCCACTACCGCAGGAGCTGCATGATTAAAAGGCACATGAAAGGTCAGTGAATCTAACTCACCACCAGCTGGTGACGCTTGGAAGGTGTCCCTCTCCGACTTTGTGTCTCAGGGTGATATTTTGAAAACATAAGACGATCAGTTGGGGTAGGAAAAATTCATAGTCTGAGATCCGTTCCCATCAGAAGTGACTTCCTCTATGGGACATCCAAGCACAGGCAGCTACTCAAAAAGACTTCAGTGCTTTCAGAAGGAAAATTAAACTACATGTGGAAAGACTGGCTGTGGAGTTGCTGGGGGAAGAGCGAGCATTTGAAATGCAAAACAATCCAAGGTGGTACAGTGCAATACAGGTGGAGTCAAGATGCAGATAAAAGCAAGCAGCTATCAGCCTTTACCTTCATACATGCACAGTGGTCTGGTGGTTGTACTCCTCTGTTGTGAGACCCTGGACCTTGGGAGGGAGGTGCATCCCCCTACTCTACATGTCTGGGTCCATCCCCCTCCTTGTTCTTTGACGTGAGATAGAGGGGGGACAATGGTCAGCTTCAGTAGAGGAGCCCCTCCTCGTCCAGATTTTGGACGAATCTGAGTACTGCTTTCTTGCCATGTTAGCAAAAGTTTTTCTGTTATTTAAATGTTTGATTCTGGCCAACTTACCCAAACATCAGTTATGTATTCTGCATAATAACTGAGTAATTTGTATTCAAATGTATTCATTGTAGACAGCAATTGTAGAAAGGTAGGAACTTGCTATGGCACATTTTGTTAATACAGATAGTACTATCTTGCTATAATGGAAAAAGGAAGCCCATTTAAAAGACCATTAATCAACAAAACCACTACCCATGATATGTTTTAAAAATATATTGAATTTTAGGACTGCACTCAATTAAATAAAGTAAAAATTAAGAACTGGAAACCAATTTAAGTCATAGAAAAAAAATAGAATTTGCTGAGTATTGAATTTGTCACCTTTTCTTTTGGAAAATGGGACCTGATTCAAGAAAGCTAATGACTGGGCCATAAAATTGTTCAACCTGTACGCCTCTACTGTAACAGCATTAATGACCAGCCATATTCATAAATTAAATCAGCAGAATGGTAAGCATGGACAATTAATTAAAAAAAGCCCACCCTGACCTCTGGCTGCTGGATATTTTTACAGCTGGCAGGTGGAATAGAGTTGCATATACTTCATTGAACACTCATATATGTATTTCAAGAGGTGAAAATTGCTTTTTTTTTTCTGAGCTAAATATTGTCACTCACAGAATGGGATCATATGTTTAAACAGAACCCAGATGGCAAGGTATCTTATGTTTTCAGTCTTTAAAATGTATTTTTTAATCACAGAGATGTGTTCAGTGAGACCAAATACAACCAGATTGCCACTACCTCCTTTGGAAAGAAGGTGCAAACTGTGTACGCGTCCACTGGCAGTAAAAGCAGGCAGAATCAACACACGTCTTAGGCTTACAATTGAATCCTTTTAAATCTTTATGTAATTTCTACTGAGACACAACAAAATCCGGATGTTTTCCCTGTAATGTGCAGAAGCCATGTCACACTTTCTTCATGGGTAGTTACTACTTTGGGCTGCTTCAGTGCCTAGCATGTATGTAAGTGTGTAAATATAGATGGGAAAGGCACCTTACATTTGCAATTGTTAAATCAATTGATATCAGCAATGTATTTTCTGGAAAAAAAATCTAGTGAAAATATAATGTCTTCATTTAACACCAGATTTCTGACATAAGTAAAGCATGAGAACAACTCTGAGCTCCAGCTTGTTGTCATTTAGCCAGCCACCATCCACTAACCTTGATGGTGGTGCCAGTGCATTGGATAATGCCTACAAACATCCAGTTGTTTTTACCAGAGAGTGTTTTCTTTCTATGAGTGTTAATGCACTTCTCAGATCCTTTCCCCCAAACACACCGAAGCACAACAGAAAATTTGGTGACTGTGGGAAAAACAGTGGCAACATTTCCAGCCACCTCCTGGCAAAAGATAAAAAAAATTTGTGGAGAACACAAAGCCGGGAAGGATAAAATCACAGAATCATAGAATGGTTTGGGTTGGAAGGGACATTAAAGATCATGTAGTTCCAACCCCCTGCCCTGGGCAGGGACACCTCCCACCAGAACAGGTTGCTCAAAGCCCCATCCAGCCTGGCCTTGAACACTTCCAGGGACTTCCATCCACAGCTTCTCTGGGCAACCTGTTCCAGTGTCTCACCACGTTCAGAGTAAAAAGTTTCTTCTCCCCTCTTTCAGTTTAAAACCACTACCTCTCATTCCATCACTGTATCCCCTGATGAAGAGTCCCTCCCCATCTCTCCCCTAGACCCCCTTCAGGTACAGGAAGGCTGCTCTACGGTCTCCACGGTGCCTTCTCTTCTCTCAGCCTGTCTTCCTTCATAGGACCGCACCTCCAGCTCCTCTGATCATCTTCGTGGCCACCCCAACAGCTCCATGTCCTCCTTGAGCTGAGGTACATGTGGTGGTACCGCCGTACCCTGCTCACTTCTCCTCACCTCTTCCGAGCCCCGCCGTGCAGCAGCTCGGCCACCCCCCGCTATTCAGAAACTGGCATTTCTGAAGAAAAGCCTCCTGTGAAACTCAACAACCGACGGCGGTACCGGCAGAGCGAAAAGCCCTTCCCCACCCGGATCTCAGACGGGGCTGGATCGTGCGTGAGAGAAACGGGGCATCCCCCAGCTCCATCAACAGGTTCCTCCCCCCTCTTCCGCGGGGCGCGGCCGTGCCCGTCCGTCCCCGCCGCGGAAGGGACCGGCGCCCGGCAGCCCTCCCGTCCGCGGCCCCCGGGCAGCCGCGCCGTCGGGGCCGCCTTCCCCGCCCCCATCGGA